GCGGCCGTACAAACAGTGGCCAATAAGTAGTCTCGGTTTGTTTAACCTAATCCGCCATCCTGATCATGATTGAGCTCCCCCCCCTGTACACTTTAACCACAATGATCCTACTGGATAAACGTGTTCCGTGCTATATGTCTGTTTCCTCTATAGCTGGACCGTGGCTTAGCTAGTTTTGGGAGCCTAGCTAGATGTAGGAGGATCTGCCACAGAGATTTCTGAGTAGGTCAGGCTTTGCTAGTCTAAAAATCCGCTATAAGTAAGAATTTGATCAGTTCTTACAGCAAATTCAATTTCCATATCAAATCGCTATCCTGTTCCCCACCCCTCGACTTTCTGCTACTTTGATTAACCTTCCTTCTGTGAAGCCCGAAGTCAGCTAAATGGCTAATGATAGCTATCAAAACGCCTGCCATTTGAAATAAATAAATAAATATCAAATTATCTTCATCAAAGATTCTATCAACATATATTGCCTTGTAGCGAATTGCTACCTTATTAAAGCCTGACTGACTCAGAAATCTCTATGGCAGATCCTCCTACATCTACCTAGACTCCCAGAACCAGCTAAGCTATAGCCCAGCAATAAAGGAAACAGACGTGTAGCACGGAGCACATTTATTCAGTACGGGTATTGCGAGTAAAGAGTACACGCAGGAAGCTTAATCATGATCAGAATGGCAGATTAGGTTAAACAAATAGAGGTTAATGATTGGTCACTGTTTGTACGGTCGCACCTCCCAACCATGGCGTCCAGGCATGCGATGACGTGTCCCACAAGGCTCCATGGCGTCCAGGCATGCGATGACGTGTCCCACAGCCTAACTCTTTAGTTTAGAACATGAAAGGAATCACTCACACAATCGACCGACGAGTAATGTGAAATATTCATAATTTGGATAAATTCTAATCAAGCCTTTTTAGAGGTGACTAGATGGAAGTGAGGAACAAATCTGTAATATAGTCAGCACGAAAAGCCTTAACTATTAATTTTTTTGACAAAATTTTTGGTATCATCAACTCTTTCTATGAACCCATATTCAAATCTCAAAAATGTAATAAAAATTATACAATAGGTACCACCAGGTTAAACGGAAAGTCAATTGAACAGGATGAAAGTTAATATAATAAAAGGAGATTCTTATTGGCTAGTTAACGAAATCTTGTCAACCGCTTGACGTCCGCCATAACTATTCATTTTATAAATAGAGAATGATAGAAGTATCAACACCACCCTTGAATGTGGACAATTTGAGTAGACGGTCCGTTCAATCCGATAAAACTGAACTTAATGAGTATATTAAAGTGCAGATTAGTATTACCCTTTGCCCTTGAAATTTGTAGAGTGAACAGCGCTATTCTGGCTGAACAAAGAAATCTCATGAGTACTCAGGTGGACTCAAGGGTGCTTCCGTGTCAATTGTTGCTTAGGTACTAAGTGTGGTCGTGAGACATCTCCGCCAGCTACCAATCAATAGTCAGTGCATTGTTTAACAATTCATTAATTGTACTTCGATAAATAAGCTCTGTAAAGACTCCAAGCCTAGATAAATGTGTTCCACAGAAAACGTCTGTTTTCCCTATTTTTGAAGAGATCTTGCCATAGAGATTACAGAGGTTAAGACCACTGTAAATGTAACAACACTTATAACTTCCTCCACGATGTGGGCGAGAGACCTACCTCCAAGTGGTGTACCCTGGGCAACTTTTACTCATATAGCAGGAAAGTCCATAAAGCGACAGTTGACTTCTCACTTCAAACTACCATGACCCCACCATAGGTCATATTCGACCACTTCACGGTACTCACCTTGCCTTTCTTGCGACCCTAACGTCCGCCTCGTTTACATCTGTGAATCACTCCATTGTTCACCCTCCCGACTCTTAGCAACTTTGATGTTCCCCCCCTCCCCCTCTGTGAAAACCGAAGTGAACTAAAGGACTTATGAAAACTATCATAAAGCTTGTCACTTGATATAAATAAGTGATTTCCACAACCTACCTTGACGGCTAAGCTCTAACCCTAGTCCGAAAGGATAACATTTCAAGCACAAAGAGATTAAATGTCATTGATAGCTTTGTTAAACCCTTACTGGACCTATAATGTGTTGAAATCTAGACATAGCACCCTAGATACAACTTCTCAAATGGCCTAAATTGTCTTAAACAGTAAAAATTAAATTTTAGAGAAACTATTTATTATTATTTCGAAAAAGTACTGCCAAAACCCGAATGAAAATGAGATGGTTAGGATAGTTTAGAAAAAATTTCATCTGATAAGTATAGTGAGTTATAAATCGTTTACCCTTCCCCCCGTTCCCCCACCTTATCCTTTATACTATATTTTATTTAATTAAATTAAAGTAATTCAATAAGCAACATCATTTTTTAATCCCTTTGTTTTTGAAACCACTTTGTAAAGCCGATTATGCTCCTTTCATTTACCTTTCTTTCACATTTTAACAGCGTGCGGTAAAGCATGCGCTCTGAAAAGATTTAAACTGCTTAAAAACCAAGCAAAACTTTGATCTGTCTCGTGAATGAGATAAAAGTGGCGTTTCACTAATTGCCAAAGTGATTTGTCAGTATGATTTTAAGAGCCAATCACATTCTGCGCTTGTTAACCACTCATCAGTCACTTATTTCACAGTGTGCCAATTTTTGTTAGGAAAGATAAGCGTTAATATATTTTTTCAGTGAGAAGATGCTGCATTTGGGAACCGGCTTTCTCCTCTTTGTCTTGTCAATTATTAAATACTCCAATGGAGGAATTATCCCTTTAGGTAAATTAAAGTATTTTCTTGTTTATCGTGATGTTTGTTTGCTACAGCCTATTCGCCTGATCTTGGAGTTAATTTGACTCAAATTCAGTCATCATTCATTCAACCGGTAGAGATAAAGCCGGAAGAATTTATGTATCCACCTAGTTATAACGGTATATTTTTCCCAATTGAATCTTTAATTTTCAGTAAATTTTTTTTAATAAAATTAACTTCACTTCCGAAATTGACCATTTTAGCTGAGCCTTATCGAGCAGCCATAGGGAATTTCTCTCCTTATTTTGGGCTGAATACAACAGCTGAAAATGTGGCCTACTTCATAACAGGCCACCATCTACCTGCAACACGAAATTGTCCAAACTGGCTTCGTATGGAGCCCGATATTGTCGCCTTATCACCTGTGGTAATAAAGTTGGCAAATAATAACCCCGAAATAAATACTCGCGTCTTCATATCGGATACGTCTATGGGTGAGTTGAAATTTGCCTCTTATTATTGATCCAAGTTTCTATAATTTTTTTTAGCACAAGAAGAATTTCTGCAAGAGACATAACAAAATGTATAGAGAAGAGTTGTTGAAGCAAAGGTTGAAAGATTTTTGCTTTATGGTGGGAATTTTTTAGGGCTAATTTGGATGTCCTAACTATCAATCTGGCTAGTGGTTCGGCACCAATTGTTTATCCGACTTTCATAGAGAGGGGAGTATCCAAATACATTTGATGGGCAAATACAAAAAGTGATAAAGCCATAAGGGAGACGATATCAGAGACATTCTGAGATCTTCTGTTAAGATGTCAAATTTTCATTTGACAGGAATGATGGCAGGCGTTTTGATAGTTATCATTAGCCCTTTAGCTGGCTTCGGGCTTCATAGAGAGGAGGAGGAACATCAAAGAGACAAAAAGTCGAGAGGGGGGAGGACAGAATAATGATTCACAGATGTGAAATAGTCAGGGAATCACAAAGGCAGAGAAAAGGGTAAGGTGAGTACTGTGAAAGTGGTCGAATATGACATACAGTGGGGTCATAGTAATTTGAAGTGAGTAGTCAACTGACGGTTAAAAGACTTTTTACCGTATGAGTATACGTTGCCCAGGGTGCAAAATGTGGAGGTAAGTCTATCGCACACCCCGATTAAATAGATCTAACTATGCCTATACATATTTTTAATCTCGGTATGTTTTGGCACAGATTCTTTTGAAAATAAAGTATTGACACAGCCATTTTCTTACTATTATTTCATTTGGAAGTTCTAAGTGCTACGTTTGTTGAAATTTTTGGCTATTTTAGATTGCCTTGAGTTACGAGAAGCTGTTTCCTCTGTCTTTCGATGGACTATTATCGCATCTAATAATGATGCGGTCCTTTTAAAAGAATTGAGAGAATTTAAACCGTATGTTGAAAATAAAAGGGTGAGTTATGCAATATGTGACGCATCAGACGGGGTCGAATTCGTGACAACAACACTGGACCTTGTAAGTGAATATGCGAATTTTGCGTATCTATTGAGATTCTGTGAGATTTGCCAGGATTAAATGCAATTTTAGCTTTTAAAAAACGGGATTTACTATGGATCCGATATATATATCTACACATATTTAGATATGGTAGGTTATTTCTGTGTTACTCTCCTCACCTCACTTAAACTAGACAAATGAAAGTTACAAGAAGGCCATAGAGGAATTCGCTTTTGCAGGCGCATATTTAGGAGTGGTAACACCAGCGTTGTCGTCATCTAATTTAACTGCTGTGGGTTTCACTGTGAAGTACATCGAAAAATTGGCAGAGGAGATTAATACTAATGGTAATATCAACATAAATGGAGAAATGGTTCCATTCACATCAGCCAATTTTCTTAAGTTGATTCAGTCAAGAGCGGTAAGCATATATTCGAGATATGCTTTATATATTCAATGTGTTAGTTTATTTTGTAAATAAGTTATTAATAAAAGCAATTTCTCCTATTTAAGTTCCGGATTCTCTATAACAAATGTCTTACATTGATCATTACCTTTTCGTAGGGTAGAGATTCAGGTTTCCTACAATATTACTGTTATCCGCTGCAGCTACCAATCAAATATTAGAAAAATCTAATAATAAGTTAAAATATAATCAGATTTTAAATGGGAAGTGGGGATCGTGGTATGAAATATATATAAATGCTTCCTCAACGCTCAGTTCAGAAAATTGTGTGTTGTTGCCTTTATAGTGGATTGCTACACTAGTAAAGCCTTGACGGACTCAGAAATCTCTGTGGTATATGCTCCTACATCTAGCTAGCCCAGCTATAGAGGAAACAGACGTATCGCACGGAACACGGTTATTCAGAAAGTATCTTATCGGTAAAGTGTACTCGCCGTAAGGTTAGTCATAATCAACATTGCGGTTCCGCTTAAACAAACGGAGGCTTCCGATTGGCCATTGGTTGTGCGCGCAAGTGATCACGCTGTAGGCGATGACGTGTCCTATACCTTTTAATGACGTTTACTTTTAATCATACATATACTGTGGATGAAATTATGTTGTTTAGCATTTCAATCACGTATATTGTTCATTGGCTTTAAAAAAATTGATCATGTTTCTTAACAGAAAAAAAGCAGAACTGTCATGTTGATTGGATATGTCTCTTCATCAGGAAGAGAAGAATTCATCCTTCTAATAATTTGAACACATTTTATTGACCTGTAGCTTTTCAAATAAATTACACAAACTTTAATTCGACTTGTTTTTCGAGTTTTCACTAAATTTCTCTAAGTCAACTGAACTTTCAATCAATTAAACATCATTCAAATTCCAAATTATATGATTCTGCCTGAAAATTGTCATGTCTTCGCTTCAAAAAAGGAATCTCTTTTGAGTCCAAAATATCTAATAGAGCTAAAATGAGCACTCAAATTTGTCGACCCAGAGTCAACCAACCTTGTTTTATCGATCATAGAATCAGGCTGGATAATCTCAAGTTGTAATTCATTAATACAAACAATTTCCACTACTTCTGGCCTCTATCACAACTTCGGGTATAACAGAATATAGCAACAAATTTGACAGCCTCAAACATGGCTTTAACAAACGACATCTTTTTCTCACTCTTTTTATAACCCAGAAACTCTGGCTTCATGTTAAGAAAAGGCCTCTATCTATTGTTTAGTGCTGTGAAAATATTTACCTCTTTGTCTAAAACGTATGGTTGTGTTAATTAATTAATTAAGATTTATCATCTCACCCTTTCGCTTACTATCAACCGTTATTTCCTTCAATTACATGTCTCGCATATTCTCATTCTTTTAGTATAATATTTCAACGAATTTCATGGATGTTGTACTAGATTTTTCAGCCAGTGGTGAACTACGCACATTGAGTTTCTGTTTTTGCGAATTTAATCCCTTCAATGTAAGTGTTCATTGAAATTTACTTTAATTTCTCTCTATTATGGATAAATATGAATTCTCTAAAAACTGTTGCTTCTCAAAAAGTGTTCTCCTGGGTACTACAAATTTAAAGATGAATCACTGGAAATTAGAATGAATCTTAGTGGAAGAAAGACGGTGAGAGCGTTAGCTTTTCAGGTATACAAAATTGCCCCTAAGATATATCATAAGGAAAAAGATTATTCAATTTTTCCGTCTTCTTCCAGGATATTACATTCTTTCCATCATTTGAGGACTCGGAAATTTCATCGACAGTTCAAATGCTCGCGAATATATTTACTTCAGACATCTCCCACTCCTACGAACTTGTGGCTGTTCCCGACAATTCAAATGCCACTGTTCAAGAAACCCTCGTAAAGACTTTGAATGACTCTCAAGTTAGTGTTTTTAGGAAGAATTTTTATGCACTTCCTTAAGGTAATAAGTAACGAATACAATTATTTTTTGTCTAACTTTAAGACTACGTACACAATGTCGGCATTCCCCATACTTCTGGATCCCAATCTAGATGTCCAAAACACCCATGCAGTGTTTTACGATGGGATTGTGATGATCAAGATTCGTGAAGCCACTGCCGTTAATCTTTTCCACATATTCGACGTTCTTAGTGGCTTCATCTGGTTCTGCGTCTTTGCCTCCCTCCTATTTGTGGCTTTCATCTTCTTTATTATCAAAGTTGTCAATGACTATCAGGCGAGACAAAGGGGCGCGCCTCCAGAGGACGATGATATTCCCTTGCATCGACAGTTTTTCAATGTTATCTATCTGAATTTCTCCGCAGTTTTGCTTGCGAAGGTTCGTTGCAAACTTTGACTTATACTTTGTAGCGGATTGCTACACTAGTAAAGCCTTGACTGACTCAGAAATCTCTGAGGTAGATTTTCTCCCATCTAGCTAGACTCCCAGAACTAGCTAAGTCACAGCCCAGCTATAGAGGAAGCCGACGTATAGCAAGGAACACGTTCATTCCATAAGTATATTGTGGATAAAGTGCACACGCAGTGAGTTTAATCATGATCGGGATGGCGGATTAGGTTAAACAAACAGAGGCCTCTGATTGGCCACTGGCTTTACGATTATCTGCACAGAGTTGTACGGTCGCACCTCCCGATCCTGCGTGCATACATACGATGACGTGCTAAACGAAGCCGTGTTCCACAACTTCTCGCGAACTTTTGTGGAAGCATCTATAAAGAACCTTTGTTAATAAGATATAACGTTTAAATGAATTTAAAAC